TTTTTTTGATTAAAGAAATCAAGAAGTGGAATTTAAAAGATAAAAAAATTAGAGGGAAAAAAATTACGCTTTGCGAGTTTTCCAAGCAGTTGTACAATACACGTGAAGCTTCGCGGCCTCGTATTGGTGTGTACGTGAAAGCGTACAACTTTCAACGAGGGCAACACGTGTGCATGCTTAAGAAGATACTCGGGAAGATATAACGTACGATGCACCAGACACCCTTATACGCGATAATAATGACATAACAAAACAACGGCGCGACAATAATGATTCAGCATATGATACGTTCGTGCGTTTCTCTTGCACGCGCCATTAGCGCAAAGTCAGGTTGTTACCGAAGGTATTCTATCGTTAATAACCGATAAACGTTTTTATTAACTTACAATTTTTATCAGCAATAAATCGGAAAATTATAAAACTTGTAATGCTGATATAGCTGCGAATAAAATTACTGCTAAATGAAAATATACATGAATTTTATGTAATTTTACGCTGAAAATTCTAGTTTATTTTTATAAATGAAGATATTTGAAAAAAAATTTTAGGAAATATTTTATTTATACATGAACTTTTTTACGAGATTTTCCTGTTAATAACGAAATTTACGAATGCAAATAACAACAAATACGATACAATTGCACGATTGCAATTATTAAATTCCGCACATTCAGTTTTATCGAGGTACAATATAAAAAATTTCTTTTAATAGAGCTACGCATGGTTACGATGGCTCGACCTTGCTATTCACGAAAATATGAGTGACATATTTTACGGTATCTGCATACGCGGCATTTTCCAACATTGCGGCATGCTTTTGAAATGTCAACCGCATACACGTTACCTCAATGTCATGCGTGTAATTTAGCTCTAGTTATCGTCTTTTTTTAAGGCTGAAGACGACCTTATTTAGCAAGCATAAATACTTGGAAATTCACATTATGACATAATTATAAGAATTTAACATTGATCCCAATTACTTTCTAAGGTGCCCAATTTAATCCAATTAAATTCAAGATTTTAATATATATATAATAATATTTGATATACACATAAAATACAAATAATACAAAATCTAATATATAGGTGTTCTAATCTATAATCTATATAAGCTATAATCTATAAATACATACTTGCACTGCCATGCTTCCTCATCGATGATAAATTACACTGTGTTTCCGAAGTCCAGTCTTGTTAAGTCCAATATCCAATTATTTAGTATATCGTTAGACCATTTTAGCTGTGACTAAAAAAAAACTCATTACGTGAACCATGGCTCGCGTCAATCGTATCTTATGCTAGTACACGATATAACCTCCTCCTTTGTCCCCTATCCTGCGGTTTTGCACGAAGAAGAGCGTAATCGATTAATCGTTCACGCTCAACATCGCCTTCGAGATCGCGAGCGATCCGGCCAGCGGAGCAACATTCCACGATCCAGAACGACCGTGCCCATTCCGATCGAGTTCGAAGCGAAGGAAAGGGCTCGACCGTCGAGGAAACGTGCAGCGTGTTTCATACACGCGAGATGGAAAGCTACAATTCCTTATTTCACCTGTCCACGACGCCGAAAATTGAATTTCAACTCGGAACCTTGATATGACCTTCTCCTCGACCTATCAAGCTGATCGGTCATTCCCTGGGCTGGTCTGGTGGCATTCCTCGGCCCACGCCTCCTTATTCTCCTTCGTCACCTTTATGATTTCTTCCTCTTCCTCTCTACAGACATCAGCATAGTCTAATCTTTACAGCATCCAAATTATTTTGACTTTGCTGTTGTTCAATAATCTATAAAATGCCACGCACTAAGATACTATAAATAAAATACCACGTTGCAATAATTATGCTAAGAAATGTAGAAAAAATTAAAAAGATCTCAAGAAATACAGACGTAATCTTTTACAACGCAAAAGTGCTGTCTTTTAATATCTAATGTTCATTTCTACCAATGTAGATTAACTTTAATCTCAGTTTAATTTACTCGTTATCCTTTTCTAATTCTTAGAATCAAGAAAAGTTAAAAAGTAAGTTAAACCAAGATTAAAGTTAATCTACGTAGAAACGAGTATAAATGTTGGTTCTTTGAAGATTATACAGTCTTCTATTTCACTGTGATACTCGTTGAGAGAAAGTGCACAGTTGCATTCAACTACAAATGCATTCATCTAAGATACGTAAACGTATGATTCTATATGCATATTACAGAACTGTTCAAGAATATATCATTCCTGTAAGCATTTGCATTAAAACCCATGCAAATTAGTCTGGAGAACCGCTAAACCTTCGTCGATATCTCTTGCCGCAGTCTGCAAATTTCTATGCGAACATCTAATAAATCAAAGCACTGCACGATAATTTTCAGGAAACGATGGTTTATTATACATAATACCTAATAATTTTAATCATTTAGGCATGCAACTAGCTCCAGAGGTAGCTAAGAAATACGACAAATCATAAGATCTTGATTTAGATCTTGATTTTTAACGGATATAGATTTCGATTCGTCATAAATATATGAATACGATTACTCGTTAAAGAATGTGATAAAATTTGTCTGCATTTCTCTTTCTCTTTCTCACAATTATGCAATTTGCTTTCATCGCGAAATCAATACTTTGATCTTTCAGTTCAGATAGTAATTTCATTACATTAACTTTTCTTAACTTCAGTATTTGTTATAATTATAAATTTGATCGCTAGTTAAAAAATGTGATAAAATTTGTCCGCATTTCTTTTTCTTTTTCTCATAATTATGCAATTAACTTTCATCGTAGAATCAATATCTTTGATCTTTCAATTTAGATAGTATAATTATACATTTAATTCTTCTTGACTGATGCAATCGATGCTTTTTCATTTCCCTCGCAACTTGTCGACTTGCAGCACGAGAAGACGAGCTCAAGAACCGAGGAAACAACGGAACTTTAATTTTTTTTCTCTCCACAATGAGATATCTTACAATCTACGGAACGGATCTCGCATCCCTAGATCTCATTCTCGTCGACTTTCACCGGAGACTTCGGAGTTTTCAGCAAGGACGTTTCTCGACGCACGGTCCACGAACACTCCCATATATTCACGAATGACTATTGTCTCGTTACTAAACGCAATCATTTACTTCCTTTTTGATTCATTTCCTTGCGATCCCATACGTCGCATTGTTCGTATATTTTTCTAATGAAGAGTTTAACACGCTTGAAGATTTTAATACTCGATTACAAAACTTTTGATAGTTATATATATATATATATATATATATATATATGTTATTTTTTTGTACAACAAGAATTTATATTCTGATTTTAAAAATCTAAAAAATACTAAAAAATCTAATCTCTTTTTTCTACAATTAAAAAATTTTTCTGTCGCATTTATTAAGCATCTGGAATAACTTGAGATACCTTTTTTTCTTTTCTTGTCTGAAATGAAGAAGCTGTTTTTATACTTTATAATTTACGCTGTTAGAACACAACAAGCAACGTTGATGTTGTTAACCATAAAATTCCATCAAGCAATTCCGTAACCGTTGATGACTAGAGCCGGCGAATGCATGCTAGATGCATTGCATTTGCATACGAACGAGCCTCGCCAAGCCGTTGCACCTAATTGTTAGTCCGCTTGACCCAATCGAGAATCATTGCACGCGCAGCATCGCACAGACGCTAGTTTTCATTCTCTTGGCTTGCCGCCTTGCAATAAAATCGCTTTGCGAGAGACTCAGAGTGATTCCAAGAGAGTATCCTCTTAATGACAGTTTTATTCAATGAGTTCATTTTTTTTATTTATTTTTTTTTTTTAATAAAAAGATACGGCATATACTGCATTGACATAAACACCTCATCTCTGCATCGATCGACGTAATTCATGTATAATTTGATTAGATTATTTTAGATGAAAATGAAAAATCATCACGGATGAATTTCTCATCTTCATTTAAAAAAAATTTATAAAACTTTACTTGCGCGAAACCAATACCTTAGTGTGTTATTCCTATAATACATTATACGAGCGAAAAATCCACAAGATATGTAAACATATCATGACGTGTCAGCGCATACGAATGTCAAAGCAGATTTGTGATGGCTTCGCAAATTGGGCCAATCGATGATCCAAACCAAAGTGTAATCCAATAACTACCATGCTCGCTCTAGCAAATATTCAACATTCCTACGTAGGAATAGCTACACACGTCCGTTTACAGCTCGTGAATTCCTCACCGATATCTAAGGTTCTAAAGAATTTGCAACTTTTTAAAATATAAAAAAGAAAGATGGCGATTATATTTAACAGAAATACGTAAAATAAGAAATCGTGAAGATTTTCATAAATTCATCTTAAAATATCTTGAATTAAAAAATTTTATCTTCTAAAATATATATTCTGATAATACTATTATTTAATTGTTGTGTAGAAATCGATTAATTGGATATTTTAATTAAAATTTAAATCTGCATGAATACATTTGTAGTATTTTCATACGTTTCTCTAAGACAACATAAGAAATATCATTCATTAAATAAATATTTCTTATTAATCGAACGATGTGAATAGCTGTTCAAATATCACGTTCAAATATCAGTAGATGATACTTCGCACAACTAATAATAACATAATTTCTTACTCTCCTAATTGAATTCTTTTCTTTATTGTTTTGTAATAATGTATTCATCTTTGAATAACTTTTTTCTTTAAATACTGTATCTTTCTCTTATTAAGTCTCTATTGTATTCTTCATCTCTCAAATGAGTCCTATATAATAGTGTTTATCTTACAACAGTTCCATGTAGAAACCGTAATGACCGTAATTTATGAGAAATTTTTTTTTATCTCGCGTATGTGGACTCAAAAGCTATTAGTACACGATGATATAAAGGAGCCTAAATTAAATACCACTTATACTGTATCATAAAGTTTTGCATGACGCATTATCAAATTTCTTTCCTCCATTTATTGAATAACTTAGCCATTTTTCTAATCTTCCGTTCCACTTTTATTTCCAGGTGAAGGGGATTTCTCGACTTAGGCTAAGATGTCACATCACAGCGACGACAACATGCTGATAGCGACGTCAGACTCCTTCTGGGAGCCGGGTAACTACAAGCGAACGACGAGGAGGATTGAGGACGGCCACAAGCTCTGTGACAGTTTGATAGCTCTGGTTCAGGAAAGGGCGGAGATCGAGAAGAACTATGCCAAGGCACTCAAAAATTGGTCGAAGAATTGGAACGATAAGATCGAGAAGGGACCCGAGTACGGTACGACCGAGGCAGCGTGGAAGGGCGTCCTAGTGGAATCCGACAGGCTTTGCGATCTTCATCTCAGGGTTAAAGAGAACCTCTGTAACGACATCGTTCAACAAGTCAAAACGTGGCAGAAGGATACGTATCACAAGGTAAAAGGGCGGTATCATATATTGAGATCGATGAATTCTTTAAATATTGATTTCGAAGTCATGTCATGAAATTTCTGAATTTTTCTCGTGGAATGATGGACGACAAGATCGCTAGACTGTTTCCATTTCTCTCATATTTTTGAAAATGAGAAAATAAACGGCGTAAGTTTCGAATGATCTTAATTTATTTTCTATTAATTTGACAATATGAAGTTTAATTTTCTGATTTTCGCAATAAATTCCTTCTAGATTTATAAGCTTATTGGCATCAGTTATATATTAATTTGATTATGAATTTAATAATATAACATTACATTTTCAGCTTTGGCATAACACTATGTTTCAAGACCGAATAGTAATCGGCACGTGGTTGTAAAAGCACAAAGTGGTGAAATGTTTAAAATTTATAGAAATTATTAGGCGTAAGGTCTCACTCAACGACCGAAAATATCAATACTTATTTATTTTGAGTTATCGATAGTTGTCATATACTTATTAAAATAGTTTTCTAATGTTTTAATGTCAGCTAATGATTTACTTTAAATGAGTTTCTGTGATAGTGGCTGATGTCGCACGGGTTTGGTTCCGTGATTGCAGTCGATGATGACCCTGAAGGAGCGCAAGGAAATGGAAGACTCGTTTAAGAAGGCGCAGAAGCCATGGGCGAAACTTTTGCAGAAGGTTGAGAAGGCGAAAGCAGAGTATCACAACAGCTGTAAAACCGAGCGGACCGCGGCGAACATGGAAAGGAACGCCTCGGCGGACAGTTCTCTCTCGCCAGATCAGGTGAATGTCGTTACATTTCCATTGTATCTTACCGGACACCGTTACATCACTTGTCACTTGTAACGTACTATTAACTGATCTACGCAACATATCACATATTATATATTACCATAGAAATCACTTCGTCATTACGTTCACTTTTAAAAAGACTAGCGGATTGTAATTGAGCCGCGTCGTGGATACAATCGCGCAAATCGCATGGATTTCTTTCTAACGAAGTAATATACTTACAATAATATTATATAATAACATTCTTATGGTACAGAACACGAAAAAGTTCTAGATTTATTTACTGTTAAATATTTTTATACATTATTTATACTACGTTGGAACTCAAATGAAAATATAAATAGAATATACGTAAATGTACATAAACGATGCGCATATGAATTTTGTTGAAATATCTAAAAATTTAGATATATAGATGTAGATTTTTGAAAATAATTTTGTAGGACTGTTTAAATAATTAGGTAGAACATTCAAGCATGATGAATAGTACCACTAAAAATTTTGACAATCTAGTAATTAGCTTAGTTTATCATAATTATTTCGATAATTCAACAAAATTATTTTCAGATCTATATTTAGCTAAATTTGTACTTCATCAAAACCGTTATTTCCATGTAAAATATTACAACTGATGACAAGTTAAATTAGTGTTCTATTCCATAATTGGTAACTAGCAAACGTGCACGTTATAAATTAATTATTTTAATTAACATCGCTATGTGGAATATGCGATTAAAATCTGTGAGTTAAGTGACTTGATTTCGCAATATCCCTTCGCGTTATTATTGATACTCTTTTCGAGTCGACGAGACAACTGGATTCTAAACGAGCGCAACGTATACTATTAACATATCTTATATTGTATAAACATTTAGTCGCGCATCTCGATCTCAAGTGCGGCTCTATATACGGTAGATACAGTTGTTCTCTAGCAAGTATTATTTACAGATGGCCCGAGGCTCTGAAAACGTACGTTACACCTTATTCTTAAGAATTCTTGCATGCGCCGCTACTCTTTTCTTGCTTGACGTTTCGCGGTAAGCTAACGATACGCGACTCTCGTTCGCTTCTGAACGCGGAGTTCCTCTTGCACGTCTGTGTGTTTCTTGCCCAACGTCTCTCTTATTCGGAACGGAAAGGATACTTTGTAACGATCGCAATACAAACCGAACGATACACACGTACGTTCATTCCGCTTCTTGTACGGTAGTAATTATACGAATGATACCCAAGAGTGACGGGACGCGATTCTGTAACGCGAAAGAAAAACTATATTGCTGAGCTTTCCATCTGAGTTTCGCTATCTTCGCTATATATTGTTCTAATTGCCGTTAAAGTCACGGAGGAGAAATTGTAATATAATAAATCTAGAGTATGAAGAAAATTTTAAAATTAAAAAGAAATCATGTTTCTCGGTGGTTCTGAGTGTTAATCGGGATCATTGGCAAAATTTGCGAGCACACGACTCAATAATCGGCACAACATCGATCTCGATATGCGGAGACAGACATCTCTGAAAGAGGACTAACCACGTTTTTAGATGACAGATTGTGGATGTGGTGCATGGAGCCTCAGAATACCAAAAAACCTTAGGGATAATAAAATAGGCGACGTTCAGTTTGTATGTATATGATATTGCATGTAGCATGTTTAAGAAATTTATCTTTTCTTTTTTCCTTATTACAGAAGGCTCTGCTGGTAAGCAAAACTTAATGCCTTTTCGCACGAGAAGTATCTGCTCGAGTAGATTAATCGAATGGATCGAAATCGGAATGAACGTAGACCTATTCAAATATTCTTTTGCGATCTGTATGCCTTCCTCTCTTCATGTATATCTATATCTTGTCAATTCCTGATCTCGATCCATCTCTTATATTAAATGCAGCATGCCTAGCTTATTTATATTCGGATTGCTACTTAATAATTATTCGGAATACCTGTATATTTAAAGGGTTGCTACGTAGAGAATGACTGACAACGGGTATAATTTCTGTACCGTCGCTTGATTGATTAAGCCTTATTCGCAATTATAAGAACCCACAGTTGGACGTGTATTACCGTAATTTAGTTAACGCCAGAGTCGGTATGAAGACGAAGAAATGCGGCGCACGTGCGTGGAATATGGATAATTCATGAGCTGGTCTACGTAAATCTCTTTGCGCTAAATTCTAAGAGCACTCGGTCGCGACTCGCACACAATGCTCGAGCAGCACATGTTTAACATTTTTCTTTCTTATAAAATCGAATAATGACATAAATTTCACTCGAACGACCTCAACCTTGTCTTCATCGCGATGCGGTTGGAAAGTGAATGCTGTAATTATGGAATTATGTAAAGCAGCGAGGTTACGGTGTTACTAGATCATTTTAAGTTCTATTGCAAAGTTTCCCATAAAGATTTGAAGATGTAAAAAATTTTTTAAAAATGTTAAATGTTAAATTTCGCGTCGAATGCTCATTTGTAAAATTTTTATATTGCATTTTAATAATCTTTTTATATTATCCTTTTTATGTTAGATATCAATAGATTCTGGTTTTAATTCAAAAAAGATTAAAACAATAAATTCTAATTTTAATTTGAAAATATTAAAATCTTAGAGATGCAAGCTAAATTATTACGATACGATATGGCCATTATTTTGTATATAATGTATCTGTAGTTGCATGATGAAATAAGCGTACATAAAAGTAGATTAATTAATATGTAGTTTGTTGTAGCAAGAGTAGCCAGATTATATACTTTTTCGCACATTTTGACGTACGAAAATTGTCATATATTTCTTGTCTCCTTTCTCAATGTGGCATCCACGGCTGAACATCGCTAAAAAGCGTCTTTGACTTTTTGACGATGAGCTAGACGAGATTGAAGATAAAGAATTGGGCCTATTAAGTTATTGCTTTAATCAATTACATAAGTACGTAATATTTAGAGAATTGCACACATGAAGTAATTCTTTCTTCAAAGATCAAAAATTCTTAGAGATTACATCTTATCAATGCCGACCTTTACCTTCAACTCGGCGTTAAAAAGGAACGCTTCCTATAAAGTTTCTAAGTATTTTCTCGTCTTTTTCGACAGGTGAAGAAAATGCAGGACCGAGTGCAAAAAACGAAGGAGGAGGTGCAAAAGGCGAAGGAGAAGTACGAAGCATCGCTTCAAGAAATCAATCAATACAATCCAAAGTACATGGAAGATATGACGCAAGTGTTTGAGAAGTGCCAGGAGATGGAAGCGCAGCGATTACAGTTCTTCAAAGATGTCCTCTTCGGTATTCACAAGTGTCTGAACATATCGCAAGATCCAGTGTAAGTCCCTTCCCAGTACTGCACAACCGTATTGTGCAATGTTACGTAATCGCAAATTCGGAAGATGCATATTCTCTACAAAAATCGATACTCACTGCTCACGAACGCGACACGATTGTCTATCATAATCAACATTGATTAGAGACTTTCATCGCTCAATTAATTTTCTTAATTTTGCCTCGACAATTTTTTGCCAGACAATCCCAATAAAACTGAAAATTGAAAGCACGTCTCTTCCTGCCTATTTCATGTTTGGTGAATACAAAACTTCCACATATCATCATTAATTGTTACTATAGATTGTGTATTACTGTTTTCAGGCTTCCACAGATATATGAAGAATTCTATCACACGATAAATAACGCCGATCATGAGAAAGACCTCAAGTGGTGGTCTAATAATCATGGCATCAATATGGCTATGAATTGGCCGCAGTTCGAAGTAAGTCGCTTACGCTTGTCGCTAAAAACAGCTCTACAAAAGCTCTATTGTCGCATGTAAAAGCCCTGCTCGTGGTTGAAAATCTGTTATTAGACAACAATTAGCTGTAGCGTGGACTGAATATTACTCTCTATATAGTTGCCCTCCCCCTTTTTATAATAATTTTATCATTATTTGTTGAACATTCTGTGCGCCTTTGCACATTTCTTTTGTTCCCAGTACTCAATTTACCGGAACACAATGATATCCGTTTTGAATGTTCTGATTTCTCAAAAATATTAAAAAGATAAGAGATAGAGATGTCTAAAGAAGAGATAAATCTCCATTGAAAAATAAATTCCATTCAAAATCAAGCAATAAATGAAATATTGATTTTTACAAGAATAAACGATAATTATTACATATTATTTTTTTATTACGCTAAAATAAGGAGCTCTAAAAAATCGGGAATACTCTTCATCAGCGTTTTTAACCCTCCCACTCGTCGCTGTTGTCATCAATCTTTTCCGTAGTTGTTATTATGTATTAAAATAAGAATTACGCTTTCTTCTGTACATTCGCCTTTGAAAAAATACCCTGCTTAACAACAATATTTTGCCTTTTTCAGTTTTCAAAGCTTCTTAACCCGTAATCTCTCGAACGTGCCTATATATCATTCGGAAGCGCGATATTTTCCGATTTTTTTACTTTTCTGAAAAAACAGCATTTAAATTTACACGGTCGCTGTACATAACGTGAATTCATCGATTGTTTTCTTATGATTACGGGTTGCAAGCGTTACCGATCCCCTTTATGAAAAGTTCTCCTTTAACTAACTTATATGGAAAACCGTACGCAAAAAACTGTATTATTTGTTATCGCAATCATACTATCATCGCTCATCCAAATGTTATATCTCCCGTGAAATGTATAGTCTGTCAAGGGTTAAATTCGTTGCGAGAGTAACACCCAGCCCCAACACCGTCGCCTCTCTCGCCTTGTCCTTTCTTTCAATTCAAGAGTACTTAAATAATATCGAAAGCTCCCACATCATGATATCATACTCTTAATATTTGAGAAGGAAGTATAAAACAAGAAGAAAAGAGAGAGAGAGAGAGAGAGAGAGAGAGAATGCATGCATGTGATTGTTTTGGGACGTTGCTATTATGCAGGAATACACAGAGGAGTTCCGCGAGATCACGAAGGGCTCGAAGTCGAAGGAGGCGCTCCCGGCAGGCTCCATCACTCTCATCAATCAACGCCCGGTCGGCGAGGATCTGCATGTAAAGTTTTGTTTACACGTTACACACAAGACGCGCCAATCTCACTTTAACTGTTCTCCACACAATTCGCGCGCATCTAAGACTCACCCGCCTTACTTATATACCTATGCCGACGAGCCGGTTCGTCTCGATCGAATCGATTGGATCGAGGGAATGGGATAGAAAGAGAAAGATCGCCAGCACCGGTTAGGCTGGCACGCGACAGCTTTTAACGGATGTCCCAGCTGGTCGCGAGGTCATCCAGGATGGGTTTCCTTTCTCAGCTTCTAGCTCTAACCGAATTAACCGTAATCCGCTCCGCTCTTGTGCTCGCACGTAATCGCACGAATCTGTGCCTAAAGGTGAACACGGACAGCCTCCTGTGGCAGGTACACCAGAAATGAATTTACAAACTAAAGAGGTAGCGCGGCAAAGATCTGAGAGACATCCGAGAGAGTAAAGAGTAAAATCAAATCGAAGGAAGATTATATTCTTGATTTCTTTTTTCTGACATACCTCTTTCGAATGAATTCATTCATAATATTCTCATAAGATGGAAAAAAAATCATATAGAGATAAATAATATCGATATCCAAAAAATGAAAATAATTGCGCCTTACAAACTGTTCCAAGCTTAGAAAAGGTCCGAGCCTCGAAAGTTTGTAAATCAATTTCTTACAAGACGCTTATTACCCTGCTCATGGTATACGGTATGGATAATTATAATATTATTAAGAGATATACGTGTATAAATCGTTAAATTTAGCCTAAGTCATATATGCTTGCAACCGATTGTTAAAAATTACATGCAACATCTGCATATTCAAAAATATTTAAAAATTACAATGACAGTCACATGGAAAACTAAATGACACAATTAATACAGAATTAATTTCGCAAATGGAAGAATAACAACAGAGTGTGCACCAAAACTGTCGTAATTTCTTCCAATTAGAAATTTCTTAATTTTGAATGTTTGTAAACTGTATTTTAATAGACTTTTAACATAGTAGTCAAGGTGATTATTTAATGGTAATTAATTATCTATATAGATATTGAACGAATTGTTACGAAAGACAAACAAGTTTCGAAGGAAACATGACGGTTGCGGGCGATTCTGTATGTTAATTTCTTGCATGATAAAGCATAAAACTATTTGTACATAGCCGACAGCTGAATTATTATTCTCGCACATCTTGTTTAAAATATGTCTCGTCAATAACGCAATAACAATGATCGGTGATATAGAATTAAAATGGCATACTATTACTTAACTATTCATTAATTAATCTGTCGAGAGGTATCATCCATTGTCACGATTGTCTATTTAAAAAAGTGTAATCTCGAATCTAATTGCTTTGTAAATACGCATTTTTTCAAATTGATACATTTATCACAATGGGAATCCGAATGCTATCTTCTCCATAAAAATACATAGACTCTTCTTATTTTATCGAATTTTATCGCGGTCAAATATAAGCCTCAAGATAATAAATCTTCTTGAGGCACGCAAGATTATTGAGAAGATAGACGCAGCGAGATAGCGATGGCTTCAATCGCACATGCATCGTCGGCATGCTCATTTGAGACGCAAAATATTCGCAGCGAGCGATCGTATCATTATACACTTGGTTGCACGCATGGCGTTCTCATCGAGAAATTTGTGCATCCGATATCGCGGTACGCACTTACGCAGATTTCATCGAAACGTATCTAAGATGCTTCTTCCCTCCCGTTCAAATAGGAATATCCACCAGTCAATAACAAATCAAAATCGAAGCCTGCCACACGAGTGATATCAACGGACGGCAATCACGGAGATAGCAAAACGGATACCATAAGTTCCAGCAAGCAATCTTCAGAGAAGAATGAAACAGATAGCGTCAACAGGACTATGACTATTACGTAAGTTGTAAGATTCTCGCAAAAAATAAATTGATGTTTGTATTAATATAATTTTATTAATGCATGATGATTGCAGTAACGGTACCAACGCCAAGCAAGAATCGAACCCATTCGAAGAGGAGGAATGGGACGAGGACGGAGGTGAACCACTGGTCGACAATGGAGAACCTGGTGTTCCCGTACGTGCTTTGTACGATTACGAAGGTGCTGAAGCGGACGAGCTCAGTTTCAAACAAGGTATTACAAAAAAGGCGTGATCCTTCGCAAAATTTCAGAGACGCTCAATCCTACTTGAGTGACTCGATTAAATTACCTGTTACGCTTAGTAAAGGAGTGATATAATCGTTCGAACTCGTTCATATAATAAGACAGTATGAGGTCTATAGTCTTTGCAAAAAGTAACTGGAATTGAAAATTTATATTTTTCGTATAAAAATGAATGTTATATATATATGAAACAATTCAATAAGAATAATATTTATATTTAACATGCAATTTTATATTGTAGTTTAAATGAAAATTCTTATTTTATCTTAATTATTTTTTAAAAACATCTGTCTTTTATCTGTATTTTTTGAGATAATTTTTTATCCAAGTTTTAAATCATCGTTAAACTTTTGTACTTTCAAAAATGTAATATGTAATGAAAAATCTGTCATTCTTTCATTTTTGTTAAAAAAAAATATTCTTAATATAACTTGAGCGAATCAAATAGTATTAATTTAAATTCCACTGAATTTTTTTCAGGAGACGTATTCGAGAAACTGGAAGATGAAGACGAGCAGGGATGGTGTAAAGGAAGAAAGGACGGCAGAGTAGGCCTTTATCCGGCGAATTATGTAGGCTTGGTGTCGCAATAGATTAACTAATGCAAAGCCAAATCCACAAGTTAGTTACTTAAATATGTAATCTCCGCGAAGAATAAAATTGCGTTTCATTTCTCTTCGCTATTGTTTGCGCGAGTAGATTTCGCGGGACGTGAGTTTCGCGGCGCCCTGTAGAACTATGTGGCTTATGATGAATGAATTGAATGAAGAAATGACTTACAAAAGTTTCTGAATTCGATACCTCTAGGTGAAATGCAAACTGATTGTCAGCATTTACAAATTGTATAAATGGCGAGTGGTGATTCCATTTTAAGATCTTTCCCTCACGACTAGCGAGATTAAAATGGAACGGTTTACCACACGAAGATATACCCCTCACTCAGAATGAAATTTGTTTTTAGATAGCTAGGTTAGTAAAAATCCTTCATTAGTTAGACTCTATAGATAAATATGGATTACATGCATATGCCGCGTGTATAGCAAGTTTAGAATATTGGAATATTATATGTTTTACGATTCATTGTTGTAACTCATTGTTGTAACAAAAAGAATCTTTCGATTGAAACGCGATGAGAGTTCTATTTAATTTATTGTTATTAAAAAAGAAGTACTATTAAAAACTAATGTCTATATAAATGGTGTCATTGTACATAATAGATGTAAGAGCCTAGCAATATGTTAAACTATTAATTGTCATTTAATGAATTTGAAGTGTTACAATATATTTAAGGTGAACGTAAAAAAACACAGTACATAACTTTGAACGGGCATAAATTTCATATAAAAAGAGATTCGGGACCTACAAATCAATAATTGTTTCATTTATTGATTAAATCTTATAGTTGAGATAATAATTTGATGAAATAAATTTCAATTATCAATATGCTATAAAAGAAAAATATTTTCATCTAAAAGTATATCGTATATAGACATACACATATACATGTAAACTTGTATAAATCCAGTATGAGAATCGTCTTTGAAAAAAAATTTTATTTAATCATTTATTTTCATTTGAAAGAAAATATATATTTCATTCTGAAATATATTTCATATATTTCATATATTTCAGAATTAATAATAAACATCAAAAATGATAAAAATGTCTCGCATTAACCGTTACTTTAATTAATATAATACATACCTACCAAATATCACGCATATGTATTGAATGAAATAAGTTTTTCTGAAACTAAATGTATGCGATTCTAGAGAGTTAGCATGAATCATGTAAAAATTAACATATAGCTAACGTTTTTATTTTCAAGAAAACTCTTTTCGTAAACACATCTTCCAAGTTATCTAATCAGCGTTAGCTGCAAAGTCATAGGGATACTTGATTTATGATTATTATAATATAGGTATTGAGAGAGAGAGAGAGAGAGAGAGAGAGAGAGAGAGAGAGAGAGACAGAGAGAAACCAAGTATTCATTGGAAATACGTCGTGTCTATGTACACAGTATTTATGTAAATAATCGCATAGAATATATAGTAAAATTATAAATTCAGTTTGACTGATTTTTTAAAAATTATTCATTTAATTAATCCTCCAAATTACCTTTTGTAAAGTGTGTTCACAGTTCCAAACACAAAGTTGTTAAGTATATATTATACAAATTGTAGCTTGTGTATAAAGTTTATTATGTATGTTTAATAAATGACTTCTACATAAAAAAAAACAACATTTTATCGATTTATCATATTATATTTATGAATTATTTATGTTTTAAATATACAGACGAAATTGAGAACAAAAATATCTTAAAAGATACAAGTACAATTATACTTTAAACTGAAAATAACATCGAAATTCTATTGTGAAATATATATTGATATTACACAACTCGTTAAAATTAAAAAATAATAAAGACTATTTTTTACATGTTATAGCAGACAAAGCTTAAAAATCCTTTTTTAAGATATTTTTTTAGAATGTAATTGGACTGTAAATTATTTATACTAAATTGTATCTCAGATTATCTTGCAAATTTATCACTAATAATTAATAGGCATTAATTAAAGAAATATAATATCGTATATATAATTAATATATCTTCTTAATAAAATATAGTATAACATTTTGCTTACTGATGTATTTGAATCTTATATTTAACGCTACTATTTATATTTAACAAGGTTTCAATAAAAATATCAAGTACACACATTACTATGGTATAGACACATTTTAAATAATGAACATTTATTGTAAATAAACTGTTTCTTTCAGCAATGTGATACTTATAAATAAAGTGTTTTGAGAAGTTCTTGAGAAAGAAAAAAAATGAATATTTTATAATTAGCATTGCAAACAAAGAAAGTCCCAAATAAAATCATGAAATAAATTCATGAAGAAATTCCATCCAGCATATACATTTCTGCATTTAGAATTCATTTATATTATTCAGCTGGAGCTATCTCATATTTCATAATTTATATTAGCAACTTATGTTCTATGTCATATATTTACATTTACATTAATATATATGATTATTCATAAGAACTTTAAACATAAAAGTAATGGATATATGTTTATGTATTACGTATCAACAAAGTGATACGAGTGTCTTATGTAAAAATTGTTGTCTTCGTATGTTTATCTTCTCCTTTTTTTTAATGGATATATATATATATATATACACATATATATGTGTGGAATAATATATAATGCGATATATATATATATATATATATATATATATATATATATCTTATAAATCAAAGTTTCAAAAATTAAACTTTTTAAGCAACATGTTGTTTTATAAATTACATTACATTTGTATATAAATTATTTATGCACGTAAATCAGCAAAATTTCAAATTGACAAATTATGTAATTAAATGTACAGTTAATTTGTACATTTCGTACAAAAAATTTATATATCCATGTTGTTACTGACTAATTTCAGCAACTATGGCAGCATACATTCGTAATAGAACATTACAACATTAGTTGCGTTTGGAGAGCGCAGAGCTGTCAGAATAATTACATTATTCTATTCTTGTTTTATGTCTAACAAATGATAAAGTGTTATGATGCAATAGTTCTTATAATACACTTTCTGAACGCAACCACCTGTTCATTATTATATCAAAGATGTTTTGTAATTTTTATTAATATCTTCATATAAAACATTATCGAGTACGTCAATGAGTCGCAACGTGTTCTTGTAGATCTTCTAACGTGCGGAACGGCTTGTCACACAATTGACATACATGCGCGTTTGCATTATGTATGTCTAAATGTTCAGATAACTCCTTTTCCGTATTACACAATTCATCGCAAAGCATACATTGATATTGATAAATCTTCAATCCTTGCTGCTCCCATTCTGCTATCGCAACTTCCTCCAAATGCGCATGCATATGCATCTCTAACAATACCTCCGAATCAAACATCTCTGAGCATTGTCCGCATTGATATGAATCGTTTATCTTTAATTTACTTTCATTTTCATTGCCTTGGTCTATACTAATCAGATTAGGATTGTCGTCTTCATCATCAAACAAATGCTTACCAACGTGCTCTTCTAATGCTTGATCTGACTCCAGAGTACTGCCGCAAATAGCACATTGATACTGCTCCTTGCTGTTATTTTGTTCTCCTTCACTTTCATCATCGCAATGCTTTTGTAAGTGATCCTTCAGTACTTCCTCGTCTGTAAAAATTTTATCGCATACGAAACAAGTATATGTTTCTTTAGGCTTCGTTATAATATTTTCAGTGCTTTCCAGTTTTACACCTGTACTAGTTATTTTATCGGACTGGATATCATTCTTCTCGTTTTTCATTTCCATTTTTATCGTGGTTTCACTTCCCTGGGCTTGATCTTGAGCCTTTTGCGGCAACACAGATGCAACTGCTACAATTTTTTGCAACGTATCAGTATTATTCAACTTTTTATTCTCAATCACGTTTAGTTTGAACTTGGTATCGTGATTCTCCAAGTGCTTCAAGAGAAGATTCTTCGCGCGGAACATAGAGTTGCAAATATGACACTTGTGATACGTTTTACATACATGCACTTTTACAAAACGCGCCTCAACTATCTCGTGACATCTCTTGCAGCGCATCATCTTCTGCTTAATCTGTTGCGATTTAATCTGTTGTGGCACGATTTCTTTATTTTGTAGCACAACCTGCACGACGGAGGCACCCGGTGCCAATTGATGAGTGCGAACATGCGCCTCGACCTCGGTACGACTGTGAAACATTGATCCACATACCCCACATATATGATTCTCAACTTTGGTATTCGCTGTCTTGACAATCTTTTCAGAATCAGTCTTCTGTTCATTTTGTTTCTTTTCCATCGATTTGCCGATAATGATCTGTCTCGGCGTTGTCTTGGATGTTTTTGAGTTGGTCGTTTTAGGAGTTGGACACCATTCATTAGGATCTTCAATGCTATTATTATTCGTTGCTTCAGAATCGGAGTCTAATGAGGCATACTCACCGTATCTTACTGGAATTATGCTCGCACGTTTATTACGAGTGATAAATGGACCGGCGAGCTTGCGTTTTGACGAGCTTGTATTTAACGTACAAGCGTTATTAATTTTATAATGCTTACTCTCTTTTACTATGTCTAGACGTTTCACCATAACCTTCGGCTGATATCTGGGCGACTTCGCCAACACTGATACCTTGGGACTCTGACTATATGCATCGCTCGTATTGCCTTCAGATAACACGATATTTTTCTTTATAGCTTTTTCTATTATATCTTTCAATTTCTGATCGAGTTTTTCCCGGAAGAAAGTAGCAGATTCTGTTTGAGTGCTATCAGTTTTATTGATTTTTGCGTCGTCATCGTTCGTGCTGAATAACTTGTATTTAATTTCCTTTTGGACAAAATCTGCCAATTCGCGTTGTACGCGTTTCAAAACCGACAATTCATTACCTTCTACTTCAATATTCAAACATCTTTCAATGAACTTATTGTTGGGCTTGTTATTCTTTTGGTTTGTTGTAGTTATCACGGGATTTACTCTACGCAATTGAACCGCATCGAAGATATCAGTATTCCTCTCCCGATTGCTTTCATCAGGACTAAAGCTTTTAGAATCCTTCGTTAAATTATTACATTCTGCTTGTTCATTGTTTCCATTCACAAGGATCAACGTAGACGTTATACAAAACGTAGTGTCACCGATTACTAGCTCGGATTTCAACGAGCTAGGTTCAAAAGTTTGATCATCATTCTGTATTTCGAATTTTTTCTCGTCATTTAATGTAAAATTATTTGTTAACAAAGATGGGGAGTTTTCTATCGAGCTGTCTACAGACGACCTATTTCTCCCGACAGTGTTTTTCTTATTGTTTTGGTTTAACAAATTTTTGACAGTGTTTTTATTATTGTGTTGCAAAGTACTTCTCGTTCTACGCGCGTCGGAATCTATGTTTTTATCACGAAGAACATATTTCTCCGTAAGATTCGTCTCTAGATTTTTCAACACCTTGGCTATTTTCCTTTGTCTCTCTATTTCCTTATCCTTCGCACGAGCCTTCTGCACGGGCGATAATTGCATTTCATCGGAAGCTATAGAATCTGTATCGGACACATCCTCCCCTATTGCAGCCAAAAGCGCCTTCTTCCTCTCTACCCAACGCTTCGTAGACGCCTTTCTCCGTTCGATATTTCTGCCACGTCTTGCAGGCAACAATCTAGCTCTCATTGGTCCTAAATACACTTTACTTTCTGCATGCTCTTCGCCATTTTTCGCATTCTTTTTCAACTTAGGTGAACTATCGTTATCCGATATGCTTATTGTGTCTAGTATAATTTGACCTGTGTCGCAAGCAATTTCCAATGAAGACGTATCTATCTTTGATTTTTTCTGAAATAGAACAATTAATTTTGGGTTGAGTAAAATATTTATCAATCAGATACAAGAAGTTCGACATAGAAGGAAATAGAAGCCCCAAATATTTAAGGAAGAAAAATTTGAATAAAGTAGGAATAGAAGAGGATGTAAGGGTGTTAGTGAAACTTA